CCCCCCCCCCCCCCCCCATAAAACAGTACGTAGAATCATCCATATCTCAACAGTGAAGCATGTGCCGTTTTCGACAGTTCTCCTGGGAGATATACTGACTAGAGTGGCCTCAGTTTTGGGTATGAATTAATTTAGAATTTTGCCCAAATGGCCCTTCTCTATTCAATTTTTGAACCATCAAGGAATCTATAACATGTAAAACGCCCACATGAGACATAAAAGAGAATTTCCGTCCTTATCTGAGATGACTAGATGCTCGACCGTACCTACCCTAAGATCAGGGGGTGTAGAAAACCGTTAATAATTTATTTATACATGTAGATGCACCAGCCATTCATGCTTGGTTCTTGTAATAAAATAATATAGATTGTAAAACGCATTGAGATTGCTGTTGATCGAGAAATTTGCTCTATATAAGTAGTAGAATTTTTTTTTTATTATTTTCATTATTATTATTATTATCATTATTAATATTATTATTTCGTTTTTGTTGTTGTCGCTGTTATTCTTCTTGGGTTTTTTTACCAAAAGATTGTTCAAAACAAGAAGAAAACGAGATCCTACCCAGGCGATGATTGGGCTTCAAACTACCGCACTGATTTAACCGACAAACACCATACCTGTTGAGCTACTAACTGAGGCTCCACTGCTATAATTATCAATCTGCGTCATTGTTGTTTCTTTGTTGAGACAGATAACGTTTGAGCAATGTCGAGATGCACTTAATAGATAAACGCTTTCTAGTCTCAGTGAAAATCCCAGATCACAATTTTATCCTGACCTCGTGAGGTCAATGAAGTGTCAGCTATGATGTCTGCGGTGGCCATAAGCATTGGCCTACCTCCCTACTACCTCTCTGTTTCTCCCTTCTTTCTCACTCACTGTCTCTCTGCCTCACTCTCCGTCTCTCTGTCTTTCTCTTCCCCCCTCTCTCTCTCTCTCTCTCTCTCTCTCTCTCTCTCTCTCTCTCTCTCTCTCTTTCTCTCTCTCTATCTCTCTCTCTCTCTCTCACTCTCTCTCTCTCTCTCGCTCTCGCTTTCTCTCTCTTTCTCTCCCTCTCTTCTCTCCCCTTCTTATTTATCTATCTATCTAGCTAGCTAGATGTCTATCTATCTATCCATCTCTATCACACGCACAAACACACCGAACACACACACTCCCTCCCTCTCTCTCTCTCTCTCTCTCTCTCTCTCTCTCTCTCTCTCTCTCTCTCTCTCTCTCTCTCTCTCTCTCTCTCTCTTGACTCACAATTCTTCTATCGAAGTAGACTGCGTGTTCCTAAACCAATACCTTAATGGCGTCAATTGTAGCTTAAAGCATTTACAGTACAGCCATTACCTGTGGTTGAGATAACACTTGGCCCTCCTGACTGACCGTAGGTCACTGTGGTGGCTAACAGTCTGCGGCGGCGGCAGAGGAGGGCCACAACAACAGCAACGACAAGAACGATACTGCCTATCACCACACCAGCGATAAAACCAGGATATGTGTAGCTGGAGAGAAAATTATGACGTTGTTATTATTGTTGTTGTTGTTGTTGTTGTTGTTGTTGTTGTTGTTATTGTCGTTATTGTTGTTTATCATCATCATCATTGATCAATACTTTCACTTACATTCTACAACATGGATCATCTGTATCCTCTGTGTAGTCGTTAATCATCATCATCATCATCATCATCATCATCATCATCAATTATCAATTCTTCATCATCATCATCATCATCATCATCATCATCATCATCATCATCATCATCATCATCATCATCATCATCATCATCATCATCATCATTATCATCATCCCCTTCAGCTTCATCATCAGTCACACAATCTCATACACATTCCACAGTTTGTATACATGTGATTTATTACGAGGAATTTTCCTGAACATCATTCTCATAACCATACTGCACGGTCACTACCATCCTTGAAGAAGCTCTTACGTCATTTATTGATAACCTGACGTCGTTATCGCAGTCTTGCTGCCCTCCTCGCCCACCGAACCCTCATCCACCTCAGAGACAATGCAATACATGTACGGGTATATGTACCACGAAACTGCTAGGTCTACATCTAATCAGCTCTGGTGATCGGCCGTTTCTATGTCGTTTTCACAACCCAGGGTGGAAGTTAACTGCAGCAAACGCTATCTATAGGTACGGTGTTGGTCTTTCATTCAACATGTCCAGGGTTCAAACTTGACAGCGACGGAAATTTTTTTTATTTCCGTAAAATGTTCTTCTTTCACCTCCTTTCCTGCTCTCTAACCATGTTTAGTCATTCTGCTTTTGTCTCCACTTTCTGCTGTCTCCCCCTCCCCTTTGCCCCCTCCCCTAGGCTCCTGTCTCTTTCTGCAGCCTTTCTACAGCTACTCCTTGGCTCCTTTTTACTACTGTTCTTA